ACACACACTAATGTTACGAATAGTTTTGTAAAGTTTTTTAAGTTCACACTTAATTTAAATAACCTGCACAAATTAGTATCTAATAGTTTTTTCATGTTGGCTACCAAGTAGACTTTTAAACAGTATAAACTTCTCGTAGACATTGGCATTTGTTTTGTGAATACATTTGTACATATTATGCAATCATTTAAATTATAATTAATTAATTAAATAATTAAATAATCAATAATACATGTATGTAATATAAATGGCAATTAATATGTTTACGAGATNATTGGCATTTGTTTTGTGAATACATTTGTACATATTATGCAATCATTTAAATTATAATTAATTAATTAAATAATTAAATAATCAATAATACATGTATGTAATATAAATGGCAATTAATATGTTTACGAGATTTACGGTAGAGAATGTCATAAATGTACTAAATTTGTTATAATTAATGCCCTGATAATAAATATTATAAATGCTGTGAACTCGTGGGAATCTTAATTTGTATAAAAAACAATTACTTATGATAAAAAGCATGAGTAATATAACAAAATTAACCTTTATTAAAAGTAATTCAGAGTAATTATTTTTAAATAAATATCTCATTTTAATATTGTTTTAGGAAAATTAATTTTTTTAATACAGTACTGTACTAGGTAACGTTTAATATTGTGTTTTGTTGTGTATTAATATCGAGACAATTTTAAATGCGAGTGAAAAACAAGTTAATTAAATCAATATATTATACAAACTTATGTTAGAAAAACTTTATTTATTAAATTATAAATTATAATTATATTAATTATATTAATTATATTAATTATATTAATTATATTAATTATAATTAATTATATATAATTTATAATTCATTTGGTCATAAACACAAACATTGAGAATATTGTTATATTAATATTAACAATTGAGTGCTTTATTTAACAATTTATATTCATATATAATAATATCATAAATCTTATTGTAATAATTTCATTAATAATGAATAATTGATATTTGATAAATCAATAATATAGTCGCAAATGTATGGAAAACTTGAAAATAAAAATCAAAAATTATTAATCATTACATAACATAATGTGAAGTCTGAACACAAACTTTTATACACATAAGTTGTGACATAACTAACCAAAAAGTGTTTAATCACAGGGTATATGAAACGCTCTAAAATAATAACAATTTCAAAAACAATTTCAAAAATATAGTTAAACTTCAAATCACTTCACAAAAAAAGTTATACAGAATTCAATGGAAATTAAACAAAAACACAGACTTTGAGTGAAGTCTTATAATATATTTGATAAATATATTCATATATGAAATATCAGTGAATATAACAATTAAACCATTGATGAGCTCATCACCAAAAATGACCACAAATTGTCGGCCAATTCACGCGAGTTTGTGGTCAGCGGTCGTCACATAACTCTTGACTCTCGAGAACCAAAACGACGGGAACTTATTGGCCGTCAAATCAAAGTCAGTCACCATTTCCTGTCCGTTGGGTTTCCTATAGTGCACTGAATAGTGAGACCACAGGAGCTGATGGTTACGCCTATTCCGGACAGTCTTCACGTCCAGCGATATGTTGAACGTCTGGGTGGACACGGATTGGTCGCGATTCTTATGCTTATACTTACGGGCCGTTTGACTGCCATCCGAGATGTAGTCCCTTTTGATGACTATCGATATGGTCTGCCCGTTGATCCGGTAGTGACCGCTCAAGACGTTACTATTCTTAGGCTTCCGGTGCCGAAGTGATGGCAAACTCTGGTGCGGATCGTCAGCGGTGGTCAACATCAACACGTGACCTGTTTTGAGGGGATATATATGTAATTAGCACTTAATTCATGGGATTCCATGGGGGAAAGCCTACCGTTCGGGAAAAACCGTATATACCGGTAGTACTCGACGAGATAACAGGGCCGGTAGTGCACGTCCTGGAAGGAGGCTTCCCCCTGACGTATATAAGTGGTGCGACTGATGTACGCGCCGTTGAAGTTAGGCCTCACCCGCTCGACAAACATATGGCGCCAGTTATTGCCGTAGTTGGCGATTAGGGCGGCGCTCGAGTGGCTGTCCCACGTCTTATAGCACGACAATCGCCACAACTCCTGATCCCCTGTAATAGAGAAACCACTAATCAGTCAAATGGATAGACATTTGGTTCGCAAGTAATGCTATATTACTGGACGCGATGTAAAATCCACGACAAACTGATCCGAACTGTTCCAGAGATCGTAAGTCGAGTTCGTTGGACACGATCTGTGGATATAAACAAGTGGTTAGACAACGAGACAATCGTATTCCTCGAGGTCTACGAGTTATACCCATTTAAGGATATTGAGAACCACTTCGAAGGGCAGACACGAGAAGTGTGTCCTCGAAGTCGTCTGTTTGGGGGAACAGATGAAGACATTCCCGAACTCATCGCTATTTAGGCGCAAAAATCTGGTGATTAGGTCGCAGTCCGCGTCATCCAAGT